GCTGATATTGGAGATTTGACTTAATGGCACATTAGATAATAATACAGATAGTGAAAGACATTGCAGGACAATTGATAAGAGAGGCAGTTGGGAGCTATGGCTCCCAATTGTGATGTGTGTAAACATCAGAATAGCAATGAAGGAACTAGAGATATAATGAAAGGTGCTTTTCTTTTATAGCAAGATCTTCTACACAGAGTTGCCTGTGAGAAAGAAATCATCATGCTCATACTGTGTGTTAGTCACTTTCTGTTCATCCTCTTCTGATGTTTCCCCAAGAGACACCTTTTGGTGACACCTGTTCCCTTGCCTACTATGTAGAGCTGAGGAGACCTGGGAGACTTGGCAAACTTTCAGAATTATATAAAAAAAGTATATTCACAGAAAGGAAAATATCCCTGAGGAAATGTCTACATTCTAAAATGTATTTAACAAGTTGAGTTTTGATCATTTCTAATTGCTATTTAGAAGAGCAAGTATAAACATCTGTAAAAATTCTCTGTTTTATCGGGATTAAAAAAAAAAAACACACAGTCTTTGTGGCTACCACACTGGGTGATATCCACAAAGTACAACACTCCTGATAGGTAAGCAATATTCTAATGATAATGATCTCATAGGCTATAAAGACTTATTAAAACCTTTGTGGTCCTGATCTCCATCCATAAGGGATGGAGAAGATATTGCCTTTAATGTTACAGAAGAATGCAGTGGGGATTCATCATCAGTATTCAGTGGAAAATTTTCTTAAAAGCTATTCTTGATATATGAGAATCCTGAAATCAAAGGAAGAATTGCAGAGAGTCACACCTGAATTGCAAGACTGTAAATCTTCTAACATAACATCTCATAAATATAAGAGACTAGTAGGAGGTCTTCCTTCTGTAGAAGGTGAGAATTTTAGTTCCAATGGGTAAATAATTATTCTATATGTTCCAGTTATCAAGTGCCTGTTGATGTTAATAGTCCACTGTAAAATATTAAAGGAAATATAGGCACAGATTATCTAGGAATTAATAATGTTGGCATTCCAATCTCCTAATATAGATGGAACTCATAAAGCTGTATGGAGGATACCTTTGAAAGAAATGAAAACAGAGAATGGCAAACACAAGGAAAAAGCCAGATGATAAAAAGGTATGATTTGGATAAACAAAGGGAAGGACTGAGAAATATTATAGGCATTATTGTCTTTAGTGCCTGCCCGAGTTATTGAGAAGGTGAATTTGTCATGGTGACATAATCTCCTATTATGACTATACAAAAATAATATGAAAACAGTGGAAGGGCCTCCCCGGTGGCACAGTGGTTGAGGGCTGGGTTGCGAAGCTGCCCCACGGCCTCTGCAGCACCGGTTCAATCCCCGGCCTCCAGGTGAGGGTCCCACATGGCACATGGCGCGCAGACCTCTCCTGCCGCCAGATGCTCCCCTCAGCAGTGTACTCCGGTCCTTCTGCCTGTTCTGCTCCCTGCTCTGGCTCTGGTGAATTCTCTCACCCTCCCGTGCTTCTGACTGTACCCAGTGCTTGTAAAAATAAATAAATAAATCTTTTTAAAAAAACACACACAATGGAATATAATATCAAATTTATTTTAAAAAGCCTTGAAACAAAGTTTTTAACCAAAATTAAAGAGAAATATTGTACAAATTACAGACATTAAACTGTGCTGAGGTTACTCTCCTTAGAGTGATTTGCCTAGAATTTTGGCAGGTGTGGGCAGGGTGTGCTGTTTTGATAAAGCTCTCCTGGACATTCTGGTATGCCTCTTCATAAATGACCACTTATGTAGATCAAGTGTGATTTGATTCTTCAGTAATTAAGGGAAATGTTTAGAGTCAAAAAACAATGGCCTCTTTCTCTTGGATTCTAAGCAAACACTGTTGGCCTTTTCAGAAGTGCTCATTGCTCATAAATTCAATTAAGTGAGTGTGTAGGAAGCATCAATGCATGTGTTCATATCTTTGCCAGGTGACAAAATCCTGAGAGCTATTTAGAAAGTCAAATGTCTTTGTACATGTCCAAACAAAATAAATGCTAATTAAAGCAAAAGAGGCACTAGTTTGTTATAAGTAGATGTGCCAAAATATTAATCATGGAAATAGAATAATAATTCTGAAGAAGATAGAGATCATTTTTTCGCTGTCATTAAAATATCCTCATTCAAAAATCCAAATTCACTGGACTTAGGCATCAAGATAGTGGGTAGGGAGAATAGAAAATGTTAAATCTGATCTTGTCTATTCAGTACAAGAGTCAAGCTTTAAGAAAATGAATGAAAAAACATCACAGCCAAGGAGGTTTGGGTTGATTTCTGAGTGGAAATGACACTTGAAAGGTATTTTCAAAATTTTGTGCTCTTAAATAGGCAGACAAGCATAGGAAGGATATTGCAAGTTACAGAAATAAGTGTGCAAAGTAAGAGTCACAAATGGACACACGATGTTAGGAAACATGATGATCCCTGTATAGAGCAGTTTGGTGACAGGAGATGAGGTTGGGCGGGAAAGGCCTTGAAAGCCAGTGTGCTTGCACAGAGATGTTTTATAGTTAAATACCAAGTAAGTGGTTCTCCAGACTCCCACTAACATACTGTCAATATACTATAATGTACACTCATACTTAATATACTACGAATGTAATGTCCAAGTGCACTTAACAGCTACCTTTGGCACATTAAGTAACTTACTTAGTCATGTTTTTCTCACTGTAAGTGAGAAAAATAATAGCATTTTAATAATAATAGCATTCATCTCTTCACAGTTATGAATATATATGAGATTGTATTAACAGAAAAATTCAAAAAAGATTAGAAGATATTAGTATTATATGCATGCAAAATCTAAAAGTTACAATGAAGAGCTGAAGCATATTGCAGATGGAGATAGAAAGTATTGTGCATGTAGAGGACACGTCTGAAAAAAGATCAAAAGTCTGAGAAGAAGTAGATGGAAGAAGGAAGAGGCAAAGCTGAGGCAGAGGGAACACATGGTGCAAGACACAGTAGCATGAATGACCGCATAGTTTGGGGCAGTGAGGGGGCTGTTGTGTTCTCTGATGCAGAGTAGATAGAGGGATGTGGTGGAACATGAGCCAGGAGTGGTATCGAGGGTTCAGTGTGTGATGAACACTAATGTCCTATTAGGTTATTTTGATTGCTTCCCACAAGCACCATAATGACTAGTGAGTTTTTAGATTATCAGTGTCAAAATATATCCTGTATGTAGAAACAAAAATCTGGTCATAGGTGTTGAATGAATAAAAATGCAACAGACTTGAGACTAATAGAAAATGAAGGGGGCACCATATTTACTATGTGGGATGGACTCAAGAAAATAGCAGAGGGAATAAAAAAGGGCATGGTGATATCATCAGGCAGACAAGGAATTATGGGTGTGGATTATGTAAAAAGATGAGGAGGAAGTCAAAATGGTGATCTTATGAGGGCTCTGTGGTCTCTAACAAACTCAAAAAACAAAACAAAACGGGAGGGAGCTAACATGGGAGACATGTCAATTTTGTTTGGAAACTCATGCACTCAATACTGGCAGGATATCATGGCCTGAAAATGTGCCAGAAGATATTGGCAAATCATTTTTTATAGAGGCAGGGATTAGAGAGTCACACAAGACAAGTAACAACTACACGTTCCATTTAGAGGTGAAAGAAGGGGTAAGTTTCAGAGGAAAGTAGTGTGGAGGGGTAGAAGTTAAGCCATGATGGTCTGGCTGAATGAAGATTGCTCTGGTAGATGAGTCCCCACCTCAAGGTCTGGGTAATAACTGTGAACTGTGCCTGCAATGCTCTCTCCCCTGATTCTTACCCTGTTGGTTTTCATTGTCATTCCATTCTCCATTAAGAATGTCACTTCCCCAGAAAGAGTTTTTCCAATTCCATGAACAAAAATGGTCATTCCCTCACATCAGAGATCCCATTGTGTCCAGTTTCATGTGGTGTTTCCATAGCTGGCACATCACACACATTAAGTCAATATATATGTTGGATAAACATCATTTTACCACATTGTACTTTGCTTGCATCATTTGTAAAGTCAGAATGAAAAATCTTCCAACCTGGCAGAAAACAGCTCTGTCTACCCCAGCCTGTTGCCCAGCACATTATAGGTGTTAAATAGGTGCTGGTTCCCTGGCCTGACTCATTGTATTCTTTTCCCCATAACTAAAGTACAAATAAAAAACAGGGCTCTTTTAACAGCAATATATTAGTTTTGTTGCCTTTCTTTGCCTTTGCTCTTTTGTGAATCCTAGAAAATATTTTCCAGTCAAGGTTTCTTTCTTTCTCTTGCACACTCCTTCATTATCCACCATAATTTCTTACTATTTTTCTGTCTGAAGGTGTGATGACTGATGGACACTACTGAATCTAAGGTGATAGAAGGTAAAATCAAAATTCTATGGAATGTTATCATATGATTTTCCTGTCCTTATCTCCTACAAGATTAGGTGTTTAATGAACAATCAAAAGTGAAATGTGGTTTGCCAAATTGATCTGAGAAATGTGCATCGATTGGATTCAGTCTGTACTCCAAAGCAAACAACATAACAAGTATTCCTTCTAGGAAATATCCAGAGATTCAACTGAAAATGTGAATTTAGTTAAAACACAATGACTAGAATATTCCATTCTAGAATGAGACTGTACCTTTAATGCCATATTCACTCCAAGCTAGTAGACTGTTTTGGAAAAACATAGTCTAAAAAACTGGAGAATTTCAGTGAGAAGTATTTAAGAACCTAGAATATTGAGGTCTTAAGATCCAGTGAGATTGTATATCTGAAACTTTAATTATTACCATGGATTGGAAACCACTGGAAGTAGAAATGTTCAATTCATTCATTTGGTCCAGCATTGTCTCAGTTATCACTATTGCACCAATTCGTAGTGAAGGATTGATGAAAAAACAATCTCATTCATTGTAAGAAAAGTCAGGGTTTTTTTAATATATAGCACATAAAACCTTTATTTTGTGGTATTTGACAGGTTTGTGCAAGGGGAAGTCCTCGTAACAGGAGACCCTACAGGGACAGAGCAGTGGCATGGCCACTGGAAGAGGAAGAGAGCAAAGGAATTCACAGGAAAGAGAAAAAAGCGAGGAGTCTTAAATATCTATATGAAATTGCATTAGTAGCTGTGGAGACTCTGAGTCAGGGAGCACCAAACGAGTTCAGCATCTTGGAACATTTTAGCCCAAGATTTGGCTTATCCATGGGAACACATGCTGGATCGTGGCCCAAGCGAGCTTTTAATTCATGATCCTAGCTCGCTGTGAAAAAATAAAAGTGAGGCCCTCTTTAGCCCATTTATGTAACTTCATCATCCTCATCATCCTTTTAACTATCAATTTTCCATTGAGGTATAACTAACATACAACATGACATTAGTTCCAGGTGTACAATATAATGATTCAATATTCTTCTATATAGTGAAATGATCACCACAATGTGTCTAGTTAACATCTGTCAACAACATTCTTGTAAAGATTTTTTTCCCAATATGACTTTTCAAGATCTGTTCTCTTAGCAATTTAAAACACAATACTGTATTATTAACTGCAATCATCATGATGCACATTACATTTCCAAGATTTATTCATTTTTTAACTTGAAGTTGGTAACTTGTGACCCTTCACCCATTTTCCCTACCTCTTGCTCTCTGTATCTATGAACTTCATTGTTTTCAGCTTCCACATACAACAGTGATTGTCCTTCTCTGCCTGACTAAGTTCACAAAGTATAATGCTTCATGTTCATGATTATTGTGGCAAAAGCAGGATCTCCTGGTTTTAATGCTTAACACAGTCCATTGTGTGCTTGTGTGTACACATTTGATCCATTCATCCTTTGGGGGACACTGAGGATGCTCCTCTCTTGCCTGTTGTAAACAATACTGCAAGGAGGATGCAGTAGCCCATATATTTTCAGGTTAGTGTTTCTTCTTTATTTTTGATAAAAACTGATAAATTAAAATGCAAGATCATATGGTAGCTATATTTTTAATATTTTGTGAAAGTTCTTTAGAGAACTTCACTGATCTTTCTAAAATTTTTTAAGTGCTAGAATCATAATTTTTTTAAAAATAATTGAACTATTTTATTCAACCAATCAATAGTTTATTAACACTATTACATGCCAAGGTACCATGAGATCACATGCACAAAAAACATTTTAAAATGCGAAATACCAACATCCAGTGCACAGATCAATTTTATTTCTATTTCTATCTTACATGCAGGTCTTGATAGAAAAGAGACAAAGAACATTTTTGGGTGTAAAGTCCAAGAAGATATTTGGGAACACTCAATACATCATTTACACAAAGTCTCATACTAGATCAGTCTCATCTCTGTGATGACTGAATTTAACACCAGCCAGGTAGCCTTTAACATCCCTTTCTCAGGCTTCTTTATGAAGAGTTGCTTTGAACTTCTCCAGATGAGTGGATACAGACAGATGATTCCAGAGCAGATGGATCTTCACGCAATCTCAAAGTCTTAACCTCACAATCCTCTGCACCTCTGAGGAACATTGCTCATAGCAGAAGATGAACAATCAAACCTCAGTCAGCACATTTCTTCTCTGGGGGTTTTCCAGTTTCCCAGACCTCCAAGTTGTCTTGTTTGTGGTGATTTTATTCTCCCATGTGATCATCCTGGTCGCCAATGTGTCCATCATGGTGGCCATCAAGCTCAGCCACAATCTTCACACACCCATGTACTTTTTCCTCTGTGGCCTGTCCTTTTCAGAGACATGCACCACCATGGTAATCATCCCCCGCGAGCTGGTGGACCTGCTGTCAGACAGCAAGACCATTTCTCTTCCTGAGTGCGCCACGCAGATGTTTTTCTTCTTTGCCTTTTCTGGCAACAACTGCTTCACCATGGCAGCCATGTCCTATGACCGTTACACTGCCATTCACAGCCCACTGCACTACACCACCCGGATGACACCCAGGATCTGCTGTCGGCTCATGGTGGCCTCTTGGATGGTCGGGTTCCTGGTTTCTCTGTGCGTAACCATGACTGTATTCAACTTGTCTTTCTGTGGCTCCAATATCATCCAGCACTTCTTCTGTGATATTGCTCCTGTGGTCTCCCTTGCTTGTGATTATAATTCCTATCATGAAATGACTATTTTTCTACTCTCTGCCTTTGTGTTAGTAGGTAGCTTTATTTTAATTATGATTTCCTATGTGTTCATTGGGTTTGTCGTCATGAAGATGTCTTCTGCAAAAGGGAGATATAAGGCCTTCTCCACTTGCTCTTCCCACCTCACTGTAGTGTCCATACACTATGGATTTGCTGGATTTGTGTATTTGAGGCCTAAAGACAGTAGCTCATTCCGTGAAGATATGCTGATGGCTGTGACATACACGGTAGTGACACCTTTGCTTAACCCCATCGTGTATAGTCTTAGGAACAAAGAAATGCAGACTGCCCTAAGGAAGGTAGTGGACAAAGCAAATAGTTTTTATCACTCAGACAATTAAAAGTAACTGATATTTGAAAATATATGGCACATTTATAGATAGCATTGGAGAAAACTTCCAATGAAATTTTTACTTTATTTACAAAACAAGATATTTTCTAATTGCCTGGCTTGCCCTAGTCTCGTGCCTTTCTTACTACAAAACCTGCTGTAGTTTTGAAACATTTTAAAATGTTGTCACACACATATACATACTCAGCATGCACCTACCCACACACGTGAACACATGTACACAATGGTACTCTCTACTGGTACATCCACATCGTGAATGATATTCCCTATGCTGTCGTAGGACTCAAGGACTAAGATGGGGAAAAGGGCCCAGAGGCTGGTGACAAAGCAAATGAGGAGAAGAAAATGGGTGGTCAGTAAGGGACTCTGAGGACAGTAGGACAGGAGACTTTATTTTATAGCTGCATAATAGTGACTGCAATGAGCTAATAGTTTGGTAATAACGATGCAAGCAAAAGATTTAGAAACATGGTAAGGAATTAGGAGAACGTCCACATTGTGTGCTAATGCCTATAGAATAGGGGAATGAGTTAATATCAACAATATTTAGAGAACTAAAAAGCTCAACAGCAAAAAAGCAATAACCTGGTTAAAAAGTGAGCAAAGGATCTGTATGTCTTCTTGAAGGCAACCAGGCACATGAAAAGATGTTCATCATCTCTTCTTACTAGGTAAATGTATAACAATAACAAGATACTACTACACGTATGATAAATATTATTTATCCTGAGACAAGAAACAAGTTTTACAGAGGGTGTAGACAGCAGGAAACAGAAATTCAGCACCACAAGGAAGAGAAATTTCATCTGTATGACTGTGTAACTGGCAATGGTGACAATGGCTTAAAAGGAAAGTGCTCCCTTAAAGTGCAGTCTGATTCCACAGGGAACCCTGGAACATGAAAGTTCTTCTACTTTGTGACAAAGGGTGACAACAGGTGTGCTTTTTGCATTACTGTACTATTCAATTCCTGCCCCTGGGTCTCCCTGGCAGAGAAAGCAGGCACTCACAGTTATTTCCAGTCAACAATGCTCTTTTCAGTCATAAACAATACTCTGAAGAGCACATTAGCAGCTGACCCTCAAATAGGTACTGGTCTGTTAAGGGAGATCTAGGAAAGGCTACCTAGCCTTAAGTCCTAATTTATTGTTAGAAACAGCAGCCTGGATGGCCACATCATGTCTGTGAGCACTGAGCTTCTGGTCCAGGCCAGGCCATTCAAAGTTAATACCGTACCTTATAGAATTTATTTTTAAAAGCTGCTATTTTTCTCTTAGTTTGTACTTCATTCAAAGAAGGATTTTCTCGTGCTGAACCCTAAAATATGGAAAGAATTTAGATGAATACATTCAAGGAAATAGATTTTACAGAGACAACAGAGTACATCGATGAATGCAGAATCTCATTAGGAGATAGAGTATTGATTGTTTTGTCTCACATTGAGAGCAGATACTGGAGACTAGACTTAATGGCACATTAGATAATAGACAGCACAGATGGTGAAAGATTTTGAAGGCCGAGCTGATGAGAGAGGTAATTAGGAGCTATATATGAACATCACCAATGGCATTGAGGGAACTAAAAGTATGGATGGAAGGGATATTTTTTGTAGCAGATCTTCTACAGCAGAGTTACCTATGAGAAAAAAATCATGGTGCTTACTGTGTGTTAGTTTCCATTCTATTCATCCTCTTCTAATGATTCCCCAGAGGACACCTTCTGGTGACACACTGTTGCCTTGCCAACTGTAGAGCTGAGGAGACCTGGGAGACTTGGCAAGTTTTCAGAGTTATTAAAAAAAATATTTACAGAAAGGAAAATATCCCTGAGGAAATGTCTACATCCTAAAATGTATTTTTAACAAGTTGCGTTTTGATCATTTCAATAGCTATGCAGAAGAAACATAATTAAAATGTCCCTATGGCATATCAGGATTTAAATCACAGTTTTGTGGATACTACACTAGATGATAAGTGCATGAAGCACAAGACTCCTGTTATCTAAGCAATAATCTCACAATAGTGGTCTGGGGCAGGAAGAAGATACTAAAATCTTCGTGGTCCTAAGCACCATCCTTAAGGAATGGAAAAGGCATTTCCTTTGATGTTACAGAAGGAAAAATAGCAAAGGGGACTCATCACAAGTATTCAATGGAAAATTGCCTTAAAATTATTCTTGATTTATGAGATACCTAAAATCAAAGGAAGAACTGTGCAAAGTCACACCTCGACTGTAAGATTGTCAATTCTTCTTCAGGCAAAATATCTCATGAACTTAAGAGACTAAAACATTTTCCTTCTGTAGAAGGTGAGAATTTTAGTTTTCTCTCATTCCAATGAATATTATTCTATATGACCTAGTGACCAAGTACTGTTGAAGTTAATAGCCCACTGTAAAATATTTAAGGAAATATAGGCACCAATTATCAAGGAACTAATAATGTTCGCATTCCATAAAAATCTAAATGAGGAATCATATAGAATTCAAGAGACATTTTCTGTTAGGATTCTGGAATCTAGAAAATGCAGACAATACAACGGGATGGGGAGTCAAATTAACCTAAGAAAGAAGTAAAAGTATGAGAGGAAATAGACAGAGGAGGGAGAAGTTGAAGCAGAGGGAACACATTGAGCAAAGGCACAGTGGCATGAAGGACTGTATAGTTTGGGGCAGTGAAGGGGCTGTTGTATTCTCTGATGCAGAGTAGGTAGAGGGATGTGGTGGAATATGAACCGGGAGTGGTATCGAGGGTTCAGT